TATATACATATATACTTATACATGTATGCATGGAATGAATAAATGAATGAATCGTGAAATTAGAGCCGTCAGACAAATTTGGTTTTCTCTGTATATACTGTGTTTAAGAACACTCTTAATTGAATATAACTATAGGAATAGACTGACTTGGTATTTCTCAATCTATGTTTACATCATCACCCTTCGCGACTGTTGAGAAAATAGATGCATTTTGCAAGAAGCTAGACACAGAAATTTCCAAAATGCAATAACAGGAATTATAAGGGTTATACGTATAATAATGGTCATGCTTAATTTCAAAATTTTCGAACTACATAATTCCTTTTTACTATGCGCTGTAGTGACTAGAAGAATGAGCAGTACATAAACGTTTTTCATTACGCCCAAAATGATCAGTAATTTTTTTGCTTATTTCTTCGCCGTCGCTGGTAAATACATATAGAAAGTTATTTTATCGTTAGCATAGCATACTTTATACAAAGTGACATATAAATCCGAACACCCAGTTTAAATGGTTTTATTTTAATAAAAGTTGGTGAATGTATTTATCTTACTGTAAATAACAAGTGAAAAGATTTTCAGCCTTATCGGTTGGACATTCCGGTTTTTATACTGCTCTTTTTTAATTCACTAACGCTCTAAAAATGAATATTTCAGCCGCAGTAAAGAATCAACGTTGGCGGATTTTGGTTCTTGACATCCTTTACGATCGGTTACGATGCCTAGAGTACGGAGACCTGTACGATTTCGTCAACTTAGTGAGTTTGATAGGGGCCGTATAGTGGGTCTTCGGGAAGCTGGACTTTCTTTTCGGGCAATTGCAGTTAGAGTGCAAAGAAGTGGTGGTTAGGTGTTGTCAGGCATGGCTTCGAGAAGGCCGTACGCAAAGAGCAAGGGGCACTGGACGCCGCCGTAGAATAACAGACCGTGAAGATCGCCGCCTAAGATTATTGACCTTAAGGGGCCGTTTCTCCACTACCAGGTCCATTGCAAATGGATGGTTTGCAGAACACGGAAGACCTATTGGCATGCGAAGTGTTTACCGACGAATGAGAAGTTTTGGCTTGTTTTCATACCGGCCACACTGGGTCCTCCCTTTAACTCGAGAACACCGACGTAATCGCCTTGAGTGGTGCAGACAACGGTCATTCTGGGATCAGGAATTGAACAGTATTGTCTTTAGTGACGAGTCTCGATTTTGTTTAGGCATGCACGATGGTCGTGCCAGGGTTAGAAGGCAACGTGGTGAAAGGAGGAATCCACAGTTTTTTGTTGAAAGACATCACACCACTGTTGGAGTTATGGTTTGGGGTGCTATAGCTTATGGTTCTAGGTCACCTTTAATCTTCATCAGATGTAACATGAACGCGCAGCGTTATATCCACGAAGTTCTAGAACCCCATCTTTTACCCTATCTTGATACCCTGGCAGAACCAAATTTCTAACAAGGTAATGCCCGACCAAATGTTGCAAGAGTCACAATAGACTTCTTTCAACATAATGATGTCACATTGTTACCATGGCCACCAAGATCTCCCGACTTATCCCCAATTGATCACGTGTGGGATATGATGGGTAGGAGATTGCTCAATTTGCAACGTCCTCCTCAGACTCTAGAAGCACTTCGAGAGGAGTTGGTGGTTGCCTGGAATGAGATACCACAGGAGGACATTGACCACCTGATCAGAAGCATGCCTAGGCGCGTTGGAGAATGCGTAGCACATCAGGGTGCATCCACACATTATTAAAGGTCAAAGGGCTTTAAAGCAGTGCAATCATTTTGAAATTTTTATCATTTACTTATTATGCTTCATTAAGTACTTATACAAAATTTTATTAAAATAAAACCATTTAAACTGGGTGTTCGGATTTATATGTCACTTAGTATAGTAATTTCAGAACTATAGGAATACCGGTCCTCGTTGCTTTTCCACACAAATAATTTCAAGAGCCCTTCCAATGACTCAAAACAAGCACAGAACTTGTTTCATCCATGATATGATTGTACCCTCTACCGCCTGTAGCACTGGTGGAGGCAGAAGCGCGCGTCGATAGTTCTCATGATACCATGCGCAAACCTCTCAAATCATCAAATTTGCTCTAAGGCTTCCCCAAACCAACGCGCAATACCTACAAATATTCGCATTGCATGCGATTCGCAACATATTGTTTTCACTGCGGTAAATAGACAAGTTCAAACTGGCGCGGTTTTCCTCGTTTTGGTTGCGATTTATCTGCGTAGTTAACCACACGGAAACATAGTTCGCAATCAGATGCGTTTTTGACGGACTTGCAGTAATTTTGCAACGTTATCAAAAATAGTGAAATAATAAGGTATATCTAAATGGACGATATTTTATGCCCTTTCCCATGAAGTCTATGAAAATGTTCGCAAAAAGAATAAGGTTTGGAGTAAAATAGGAGAAAAAGTAGGCGAAAATGGTGAACTTGAAACTCATTTCATTATTTATTTAAGAAAATAATAATCGAGTATTCTAGTGAACATTGTAAATATATTATAAAATTATTCTAGCTATACACGCAGGCTCATTTGCATTGTTTTAGTGATAAGAAAGGTCTTTATTAGGATCCTGAATAGAAAATTTTTTTCTCGTTTTTCTTCTTGAGCACTAGTAATCAATCTGTTTTATAAAGAAAATGCAACGTGAATGATGCGATTATATTCGCCTTGGTGTGAGGCTTCATCCGGAATTCGCCTTGAAATTCGCCGCGGATTCTCCGCTGCAAATAATTCGCATTGGTCTGGGGGAGCCGTTACTAGTGCCTATTTTATTAGGATTTATTAATATTATACCTATTACTGTCAGTTGTCATGTCCATATCATAAATTAATCTTATCGGCTTTCTAAACCTGCAAACCCCTGCATGAATAATGTTGTTATTAATTGGTTATTTGAATCCGGGTTGTATGTTTATTAAAATATCAATCTTATTAGAAGTGGATGCTACTGACAGCTCGACTGCAGCTATCAGTTAAACCATCGGTTCAGGTCTCAATACATCTGTGAATGTATTTCTCCGGGGTAAATCTATGGAATCATCACTCCATTTGAGAATTGACACTGTATATGTGCTAGACGATATAGAGCGCCCAGTAATAACGAACTTATTGCAAAGATTGTTACTTCCTGCGCCAACTGACGAGGAAGTATTGTAAACGCGAAAAACTTCGACATTGAGATATGTTTTTTGGCTGTTATATGGGTTGTACGAGGGTTGTTTCAAAAATGAGGTTCCCACATTTTTTTTCAGGCACAAGGGATCTTGTATCGGAAAAAACGAATTTACCATTGGAAACGTTGATCTTTAAGCTATTTTTCTACATAGTTTGCCATTTTTTCCTTCAGTCCTTCGTTTGTTGTGAGACATGAGGATGCACGTTGTTGTGGTGCAGTCTTACGCTTTGGTGAGCTTTCCCCTACGAGGATCTTGGCTTGCCCGTCTCAGCTTTTTCAGACGCCTCAGGGATTTCAACTGCCTCCCGGATCGTCACTCGCCGATCTTTGAGCAAGATTTGCTCAATCTTCACCATAACCTCCTCGGAGATCGACGGCATCCCGCTCGTTGTTGATTGTGGATGCCTATGCGGTCGTCAAAGAACTCTCTCCACCATTATTGGACGCTTATACACGTTTTCCATATACTTTGCTCAACTGGCGATGAATTTCTATGGGTGCAAAAATAGGGCGACCGCACGAATTTCGCACCTGGCGATGACGGCGATGAAGAGTACTGAGCGTTGCCCATAGACGCTTCTTTGTTGGGATTGGTGGTGGGGGAGCCTACAAACACGACGGTGTAGCCAGATTTCCGCCTAGCATCACGCGCGGCAAAGTTACAGCGTTGGGATTCTTATTTTTCAAACAACCCCGTATTTTTCCTAAATCTGCCATCTAAACAGAAATATGATAGAATTGCTTGATATAGTTTGATGTGCAGAGGTCGAAGGTTCATCATACCCAACTGAATCTACCTAATCACGATTTGACTCATCCCTTTTTCTTGAAACCTCCAACGAAGGAGTAGGAAGTATACCGGGTGTCAACGAAATCGTTTTACAAGGCACTACGAGGGATGTCTTTTGCATATAGCAACATAGTAGGCCGCGCGGATCGAACATCAGTACTGAATCTTAACCTCACTTTTTAGTAAATTGAAATTCAAAGTTTCACAACAATACGTGCAGTGTTCTCACTACAGTGAATTTTTAAGTGTCTCCAAGTCATTAGAAAAATGGAATTCAACCGAGAACATTTTCGCGCCATAATTTATTACAACTTTCTGAGACAATGACAAGAATGCCTTGCTGAGTTACTGTCTGTTTTCGGCAACGAAGCGCCACATCAGTCGACAATTTCCCGTTGGTATGGAGAATTCAAACGTGGATGGGTGAGTCTTAGCGACGATCTCAGGGTGGGTGCACCAAAAACGGCAGTCACCCAGGAAAACGTCAATGTTATGCGCAAACTCATCATTGAAGATATATACAGGGTTATCCAAATTAAGTGTCCTAGTAACTTTGTTATTAGTGAAAATACAAAGTTGTTTGAATTAGCAAACTAGTAGCATTTTTAACGCTGGTAAAAACGAGAAATAAAAAAAACAATTGAGAGTCGTTATTTTGATTTTTTTCAGTAAAATAACATTTTTTTAAATGGAAACCCCTGTATATTATATTTTTTTCTGTTAAAGCATCAAATTTTAAACAAAAAAGTTAATAATGACTTTTCCGCTAAAGTCAAAAATAAAGTCAAAATAACGATAAATATTTTTAATTATTTGCAGTATTATAATATTAAGACGGCTATGAAAACAACATGGCGTTCGCGATTTGACAGGATTAAGATAAGCGACAAATTGTTAAACTGGACATACTCGCAACTAGAAGGCTTTGGAAAACAATGATAAAATCAAATAATGTCAAACATTAGTGTAAATACTTGTTTATAAGCTTTATTGTGTCATTAATTTAAAGAAAAATGTTCTCCCATGAAGAAAAGTGTGATATGTTAGAATGCTATTTAGTGTGCAGAAAATCCTCCTTGAGAGCAAGAGAATACTACAGTGAATTATATCCCGCTCGCATTCAACCGTATGAACGATATTTTCTGAGACTTTATCGAAAATTTAGGGGCAACGAAAATGTTTTTGCTAAAACAAGGGCAAAAAAAGAATTCATAACTGGCGAGGCCACGGAAATTGCAGTTATTGGATATTTGAAGCTTATCGTGAGAATTCAATAGCAGATATTCTCAAGGACTCTAATTTCTGTTATGGTACTGTTCAAAGGATTTTAAAAAAATACAAATTTATTCCGTATAAGTACCGACCAGTTCACACGCTTTTGGCAGGGGATCCAGAGAGAAGACTTGTTTTTTGCCATTGGTATCTTAGCTTCTGTCGCCAAAATGTAAATAACTTTCGTTACCTTTTATGGACAGATGAATCAAATTTTTCAAATTCTGAAATGTTTAATAGAAAAAACCACCATTATTGGTCAAGAGAAAATCTTTTGTTAGTACATCCAAGAGGCCCACAAGTCCGTTTCAGTTTCAACGTTTGGTGCGGTATAATTGGTTCAAAAATTGTTGGCCCGTTCTTTTATGAGGGAACCCTAACTGGTGAAAGATATGTGGAATTTATGTCAGAAATTCTGACTAATTTCTTAGACGAATTGGATCTTATAAGTAGACATCATCTGCATTTTCAGCAAGATGGCGCACCTGCCCACAACTCCAGAGGTACTTATCATTTTCTAAGTACTACTTTTAATGATCAGTGGATAGGAATAAATGGCCCAATACAGTGGCCTCCCAGATCACCAGATCTAAACCCACTTGACTACTTCTTGTGGGGTTACTTAAAGAACCAAATTTGCAAGCGAAGGTACGATAACCTTGACGCGTTAAAGACTGCAGTAAGGGAAAAGATAACCCAGATAGATGGTAGGACCATACTTAAGACAGTTCGAGCAGTTGAAAAACGTGCCCAAAAATCTATTGAAGAACAAGGTGGTGTTTTCGAGCATCTTCTTTAAAAAAAATTGTTATTGTATTTTGTAAGATTATAAGTTGATGTTGAAAATAAAGTTTGTCGATACAATTCAATTGTTTCAGATTGGAGGCCATAACTTCAACAATTTGTAACCTAGGAGAAAAGTTATTGTAAGCTTTTTTGTTTAAAATTTGATGCCTTAACAGAAAAAAATATAATATACAGGGGTTTCCATTTAAAAAAATGTTATTTTACTGAAAAGAATCAAAATAACGACTCTCAATTGTTTGTTTTTATACCACCATTTGTTTGCCAAAACTCATCACCCAGCTTCGAAAAATCAACCCCGAAACAAGAATCATCCTCCACCAAGACAATGCAACCACGCACACAGCCCAAAAAACAAGGCCGTCTTTAACGGAAGAAAACGTGGAATTATTGGACCATCCTCCATATAGTCCCGATCTAAGTCCTAACGGTTTCTTTACTGTCCCGGAAATTAAAAACAGACTGTGTGGTCAAAGGTTCCAGTCACCAGAAGAAGCAGTTGACGCGTTAAAAAATGCCGTTTCGGATCTGCCAGCAAACGAGTGGAATAAGTGCTTCGAAAATTGGTTCGAGCGCATGCAGATGTGTACTAGTCTTCGTGGAGAATACCTCGAAAAACAATAAAGTCATTTAAAACTACCTACCGTGTTGTTTTATTTCCATATGCAAAACTTAAAAGACATCCCTCGTATTCAATTGCTGACTAAAATAGAACCTTGAATTTTTTTGTCAAAATATGACTCATAAAAACTCAAATTATCTATTAAAGCTGAATATCGCTCCCAGTTTGACCGAAGCTGAGTATGAAACAAGAATTTTAAATAGGATCCTGTATATATTTTTACATATTTGCATAGAGCTTCAAATTTCCGTTTTCAACGACATATCACAAGTTGTTATTCTTTTTCAAAATGGTGGCATAAATGGCATTCATGCCAAATTCAATATGGCGGCGTTCTGTCAGTATCTATGGATTTTTTGCCTATCCGCTAATTTAAGAGGCAAAATAGATTTTCTTGCCGCTTCTACAATGAGTTGGTAAAACAAAAAAATTGTCATAAATTTGGGACGATTTTTGTTTTTACTTAAAATGCCAAAATGTATTTAAATTTTTCTCAGAGCTTTGAATAGGGGCTTTCTAAGTGCCAGCAATAAAGAGCATCTCATTTCCGAAAGAAAGATCCTCAACAGTACGTTTCTTTTGTATTTTTTTTATTTCTAACGATAACAAGGATCATAACGGAAATTAGCATAGTAAAAACTCAGTAACAAAAGTAACTAAATAACAAATAATTTAGCAGATAAGTGACTAATTTAAAATTATAAAAAATCATTCCATTAAGTGTTCTATGCGTTGGCCGCCAAGTTTTTGATATAACCTGACTCTCTTGATGTTTTCTGTGAGCAATTTTCGTTAATATCCTTGAGATATGTTTTCAATGTCTGTTCCAATTCTATTTTTCAGTACTTCTAGAGACGGTGGAGGAGTGGCATAAACTTTTTCGTTTAAATAGCCCCAGATTGAAAAATCGAGAGGATTTGCATCTGGCGATCTTGCAGGCCAACGGATTGGTCCGTTGGTTCCTAGCCAATTTCCACCGAATCGCTCATCTAAGTAATTAGTTACAAGCCTAGAGTTGTGGGCAGGGGCGCCATCCTGCTGGTATAATAAATGTTCGTTGTTCTGCCGATTTTCTATAAAATTTTATATTTGGTTTTGTAAAAATTCCAAGTACATATCACCACTTAACAGTTGATAGAAAAGTATTGGAGCAATGATATTAAGCCCTGCTACGCCTAACCAAACAGTCACTCCAAATCGTTCCTGGAAGGCACCTTCTTTCAGTAGCCTGGGCAGCAGCGGTGGCCGCAGTAGTAGACTCTTCGGTCTCCTGATCAGTCGCCGTGCGCTGTGCGGGTTCGAGTCCCGTCCGAGGCGAAATTTTTCTCTTGGCTATGGATGTTGTGATTGTCCGTAGGTGGTAGACGGTCTCTGACTGTCGAACGCGGAGGTACCACCCGGCGGATCTCGTAGGCGGAGCCAGAATGTGTGCATGTTGCATGCACACGTGTTCCCTCGCCAGAGTCCGTGTGGCGTTCCCCCTTTCCCACCCAATGGGTGCTTAGGCCTTAGGTAGTTGGAGTATAAAAAAAAGCCTTTGGTTCTCCTTAGCCCAATACCAAGTATTGTTTCGATTAGACATCCCTAGACTAGTAAACCTGGATTCATCCGAAAAAATAATATGGTAATTAAGCCGTCTTGAAAAATGATTTTCAAACAGATGGTGATGAATTTGGTACTAAAAAAGACTTAAAGGCATGTTTCTTTAAAGTTTTTCTAGCACTCTCGTGCGAAATTTGGCACTACTCACCTATTTCGCGAGTAGAAGCAGTACGATCATATTCTACGTACGCTAGGATGCTTATTTCGACTTACTATAAAACCATTACCATTAATAGGATCGTTATGTTCATTGTTCAAATATTCTATGAGCCAAAGATAATAGGCGTGTGATGCAGCTTCACCATAAATAAGGAGCATGTCGATTTGATGATCTCTCAAATAATTCATTATACTTTATATCAGTTAACTACTAAGTTGATTTCAAATGAAATAAACAAGCAGAATAAAAAATATTACACAATAAACGATGCTGACGCGTGGAAACGAGACTGATAGTTGACAGTAATTTTAAAGGCTTCTCCGTTCATTTGTTGCCAAAGCATCCCCAGGTCTCCGTGCAAACCAGAGAAATATTCGTCAATGTTAATTATTAGAACTCTGTTTTTTTGAAAGAAAAGAAAATAATATAATTATAATAAAAAATGAAAATCATAGATATTTTCTGTCACGCGACTAGGTAACTACTGGCCTACTGTGCTTAGGTAACAGCAAATCCTAATTTTCCTATTAGTTATACTGATATAGCTCTCCAAAATTTTCCAGCTTTATTTCTCTAAGACAAGTTCCTTATAGTGGACATTTTTTAGAGATAATCCGACATACTTTATTAGTAGTATTTAGAAAATTTATTCAAAATTCTGAGAAAATTTTAAATACATTTTGACATTTTAAGCAAAAACTAAAATAGTCGCAAATTTATGATATGTCTTTTTGTTCCGCCAACTCAGTGCAGAAGCTGCAAGAGAATCGATTTTTCCTCTTATTTCAACGGAAAGTTTGGCAAAGAATCCATTGGTACTGTCAAAACGACGCTATAGTGAATTTGGCGTAAAAGCCATTTAGGCCGCCATTTTGAAAACGAATGACTTCTTCTGATACACCGTTGAAAAGGGAATTTAATTTTAAGCTTTATGAAGATATGTAAAAATATATACTGGGCCTTATTTAAAATTTTTGTTTCATACTCACTTCCGGTCAAACCGGAAGCGATATTTAGTTGTTTTTTAATGAATAATCTGGGTTGTTATAGGTCATATCTTCATACAAAATTTCAAGGTTCTTCTTCAAACAATTGAATAGTGCCTTGTAGAACGATTTCGTTGGCACCCGGTAGAATCAATCTACTTGACGCCATTTTTTATCCAGTGATAGTAATTATCGCATTGCGTCTACACTCATACTGAAAAGTAACTCTTATCAAACGCTATATATTGTACTGAATATGATGCTACTATGATACAGTGTGACGAGAAAGACCTCTATAAGTATTGTTAAGAAAGTTGTCTACTTTCTGCTTATTCCGGCTCGGAACATCATCAACTTACTTGACAACATTCTTTTTCTTTATCATCCTTTAATCCGGGTGAGCTGACACGACCTATTACTTCATTCAGGGCAAGGGTTGTTTCCCCCTCGTCCTAAAACCACTGTCGCCACTACCCTGCGTTCGAATACAGCTGAAACCACAATCCTAAAGATTGCCCTGGGCTACCACGTTTTAAACTTGTATTGCACGGACTCCCCCACTTTTCCAGGTAATGGCCGGGGGTTATTCCATTTTCAGCGACGCTTTCGATAACCAAATCACTTTGAAAGGTAGCAGATTTTGGCATTACAAGATATTCTTCGTTTAGGCAGTGATCTGTTTTAAGAGGGGGCCTTGCTGAAAGGCCGTAAACGGGATGAATAAATAAAAAAGGTTTATGTTTTTATACTTAGGTCACCGCAAAGGCACACAGACACAGCATATACCGTGCTTTCAAAAGACATCCCCTTATTTATTTATAGGACCAAGTTAGCAGCTTGATTTGGGGTAATGAAATTGATGCATGATTGATGTGTTTTAACGTAAAAGTGACAGTTGGAAATTTCAAAATGCCGGTTGGCAATCGTTTTAAAGTTTCTTTTAAATGGAATAGGTGGTGCCTCATGTTGAAGCTCCTTATGGGTACTTTATATGCCTAGAATAAAAAAATTACCATCTTTAAATCTGCCAAGCTCGCAAGCTGTCAACGTTAAACATTTTTGTATATTCAATCACATAACTAAAGAACATCGATGATAGAATCTGTTTCACGAACATCTGCGGGATTAACAGCAACATTGATGCTGCTCATCACTACCTGTAGTCAAGTCGTCAAGCCCTGCTTTTCTTGGCGGAGACAAAAATCTCAGATTCTGCACCGATTAATCATCTTATAGTCAACGCCAAACAAAGTGGCGTGCACGTCATCACGATAAAAATTCACCGACCTAATGCCTAGGTTTCTATCACAAACAATTGCTCTATTGCAGTTTCATATTAATGTGATATATAAATTGTAAAATGGTCATTACTCTCTTATTATGGTTAATAGTCATATAAACATTGTTATTAAAATATCACATAAGTTGTTTTCTGATAAATTTAGACGCATTATGCGAAATAAAATGTTTTGCAAACGCTCCAATCACTTATCGACATGTAAACGCACTAAACCGATTTCGCAGCGTTGACACATTGTCACCTTGAAACTTATTTAAACTGGGAACTGACATTTGTATTAATTTTGACACTGAATCAATTTGTGGCATTTCAAATCTTTATAAATCCTTTGGCCCCGCATACTGTAAATCAACAACTGTTTGTTTCAAAACAAAATTATTCATTTTACGAGTAGATAAAGGCAATTTTGGTATATAAAGATGCCCAAACAGTTAAATAGTCGGTGTAAGGAACTCGTGGCCTCGTTAATGCACTACTTTGAGCAAGAAAGGGACAACAACGGGCCTTTGTTGCCTTTAAATGCTGTTCAAGAGGTAGGTTACTAATAATTATATGTAATGTATATTAATAATAGTGAAATTTTATTTCATTTTTTGTAGCGTGTTGCTGCTGCTTTAAAAATTAGTTTAAGGACAGTTAGTCGTATTTCCGAGGGTGTGAAAAGTGATGCAAATTTAGAATCGCCCAAGAAAAAGCGGAGTTATATTAAACGTGTAACCAACACAGCGACATTGGATACAAGTGCCATTCGAGAAGTGATCTATAATATGTATCACAAAAGTAAGATCTTATTATAATAACTTATCAGAAATTTGCATTAATTTGTTAACTAAATTATAATGTCATATTACACATGGTTTCAGAAGAACAAGTTACGATACAAACTTTATGGTCTCGATTAAGAGATAGGGCATTATTTGATGGTAGTGCCACGTCTTTAAGGCGGTTGCTTAG